ATATTTGCCACTTACCATTTCTGGACTTCTTTTATGTGAGACAGTACGGCCATCTTTATGGCTTTTTGGTTGTGATTATGACTGTCAACTCTGTGCAGAGATGCAGCTGTGCTTAAACCAGCTCTGGAAGTAGAAGAATGCAAGAGCATCCTTGGGCTGAGTGACCTTGCATCAGGTGTTATGAAACTGCTGGGAAGGACCAGGCTGTCCCTGAGTGCTGTGCTACTACAGGGACATAATGGCTCACTTGGGTGGACCTGGGCTGTCGCTGACATGATGCCACATGGTGTAGGCACCCTCTCAAAGTCAATAGTGACAGTTCTGTTTGAAGAACATTTTGGAATCTGACCTTTGTCTTGTAAAAATTATTCAGACTCCAAACCATTGCTGCTTCAAGATTAATCCATTTCTAGTCCTTTTGTTAAAAGGAGCATAAACAGCTGGAAGGAAACCATGTATGTTATTGAAGCACTACATTAATCACTATTAGAAAACTAGTACAACGCTCTTTTGATATTCTAATGTAAAACCAAATGCATGCTACATCCAGAAACTGAAAACTGCAGTAATTGAGCCAAATTATTTCAAAGTAGAATACTCACCATCCATCAAATGTGATAATGTGTGGATCAGTGAAAGAGTAGCAGTTCCCTGTTGGGAGGTCTCGAACTGTGACCTAGTTAAAATGAAATGTGTAATGAATACAGTCTACACAGCAGTTTTTCTTCATTACTGTTCCTCACAAAACATTAGGGGCAGGATTCATGTGTCAAGTACAAACTAAAATCTGACTTCTAAAACATGATTGCGAATGGGTACAAAATAGGTTTCGCTTTCAAACAATGGAGTTTAATCACATGCAATAAGCGTGTTCAAAGTGCCTCTATTCTACCTGATGTAATGCACTGTCTTTCTTTATCTGGTAAAAAGCAAACCTTTTTTATCAAACTTTTTTGCTAAGAAGTAGATCATTCACTGAAATTATCAAGAGAGTAGAGTGCTCATTAAATTGTACTAATTTTAATGCCTGAAGTATGGTGTAAGATATGCTGTAATTAAGTAGCATTAACATATTTTAGTAGTAGTCACTGCCTGTCCCCCAGTTTGACCTTAGATTTCCTGATACAGCATATGAATGGCTGATTTATATATTTGACATACAGGTTATTGATCAGGTACTGGCGACAACGGCCCAAATCAGGCTCATCTGCTTTTGGCACGTAAATAAAAGAGGAAAGGATCTACTATAGCAACAGAGATCTTCAGCTGCATCAGCTCTTGGTTACTTGGGCACAAGCTGTATCACAGACAAGGTCTGAGAGTCCTGGTGCCCTGCAAGGAACAGATATGCCTGCGAAAGCCAGAGGTAGGGTAACTCCCTTCGAAGTTGCAATACCTGAATCTTGGGCAGTGCTGGGCATGCATTGCCACGTCTGGTCAAGATGGTGTTTTTTCATACTCTGCTATACAGTTCTCAGAAATGCAAGACTGGGTTCTGTAGTCATTTGCAATATGAAGAGCTCCCAGTCATACTGGTGGGAGTGATGAAGGATTATGGTTTTCCCATATCCAGCCTGCCAGGCTGATTTCTTGGCCAGGGCTGTTAATTCTTTGCTCACTGTTTGCCCGTGAGAAATCCAGAGGTGCAATTCAGTTAGTTCTGCCACGACCAGCAGAACAGGGGAGAAGAATGTCTGCTATATCCTTGTACAGTCTTTCAGTGACAAAGCAGAACTTAGCTTTTAGGAACATTAAATAAATGAATAAGAGGATGAAGATAGAACCACACTCCCTGACAAAATTCTTCACCTGTGGCAATACATCAGCTGTTTTTCAAAATGCCCCTTAACTATCACACAGACACACTGCTTACACACCCACTGGTGTCTGGCATCCCAAAATGTTAGAGTGATGGTCCTGAGGAATGAAAAACTGAACACCTCTTTGAAGAGCATTTTGATCTGAGGTCAATTGTATCATTTGTATCTACAGTGTGATATAAAGACGTGTCTCAGAATTTTCCCATTTTCTCCACGGCTGCAACCTTCCTAAGTAAAACCTTTGCACAAACAAATCCACGTGGCCCTTTCTGCTCTGCTCTTTTCTTGCATGATACCAACAGAGGATGCAAGTCCTAGTTGTAGGCAGTCTTAATTTGCTGAAGAAATCCACTTTATCAGGTGTCTGAATGTGTCAGGATGTTCTGCCCACCATTTCCGTTCAATTTTCAGATAAATAAAAAATATTTGAACAAGTCTGAAGGACTAAAGACTATGTGGATTTTAATATATGGATTTTTCTTTGATACATTGCAGGGACTGTGTTACAGTAACGCCTCTAATTAACTGCAAAGCAGCAACGAGGAAATGGGGGGGAGGAAAGGTAATGTCTATTATGTTTCCATAGATCAAGTTTTAACTGTGATGATAGATGGACTTTATTATAAAAATTGATTAACTCCATTTCACACTTGCTACATTTTCATATTTTAATGGAAGCATTTGTAACTTCAAGAAAAAATATGGGTATGTGAGTGCACTACACTGAATTAGCTGCAATTTCTGATTTAAGAATCTTAAAAAGTTTAAAAGAAGCCTATGCCAGAAAGGAAAGGATATAGTCACGTGCTAGGCAATTTACCTTTGAAGATGAAAAATTTTTTATAGAATCATAGACTAGTTTGGGTTGGAAGGGACCTCTAAAGGTCATCTAGTCCAACCCCCCTGCTGTGGGCAGGGACATCTTCAACTACATCAGGTTGCTCAGAGCCCCCTCCAACCTGACCTGGAATGTTTCCAGGGATGGGGCATCCACCACCTCTCTGGGCAACCTGGGCCAGTGCTTCACCACCCTCAGCGTAAACAATTTCTTCCTTCTATCTAGCCTAAATCTACCCCCCTTTAGTTTAAAGCCATTCCCCCTTGTCCTGTCGCAACAGGCCCTGCTCAAAAGTTTGCCGCCATCTTTTTTATAGGCCCCCTTTAAGTACTGAGAGGCTGCAAGAAGGTCTCCCCGGAACCTCCTCTTCTCTCGGCTGAACAACCCCAACTCTCTCAGCCTTTCTTCACGGGAGAGGTGTTCCATCCCCCTGATCATTTTCGTGGCCCTCCTCTGGACCGGCTCCAACAGGTCCAGTTTAATCTCATTCTCTCATGAGCAAATCCACAAAAATCAGGGCAGTGAAATTATAGATTTCATTGGGAGTTTGTTTTTGATTACTTAAAATATACCAGCTCGGATGTGTACACTGCTCTGAGTAATTTAGCTGAGTCAAATCTGTGCTCTGGTTTATTCTCTCGGGCGGTGGGATTACAGCTCTCAAACCTCCCAGCTGAGGCCCTGAAACAACTTCACAGACAACGGGCCAGTCCCTGCTTGCCACACTCCCTTCTAGGCAGGGAAAGCATGGCTTACCTCCCTGATTGATTCTTATTATTTTTATTTTGGACATTTCATACAGGGATAAATGAAGAGACAGAGCAGCCATGTGTGTTGTCGGAGGTGTCCCAGTGATTCCTGGCACAGTCACAAATTGAACACTGCTGAGTCCTGATCCTTCTTTCTCTTTACTGAGGCACTGCCTTTCCTCTGCTTTTTCAGAAGCCGGTCTCCAACCCCTCGGTTTTCCCTCTCCCTTCTTCTCATAAAGGTGCTAGTTCCCTAACCTAAGAGGGTTAGGAGAGAGGGAGAACCCTCTCTCCTCTTCCAGCATACACAAGCACGCCTGGTTACATCTATAATCCAGCTATTGGCCTTACTGATGTGCTGACTAATAACCAAACCTAAATTTGTTAAAGCAAAAGGCTTTACATGTTAATTTTCTTGGCCAATAAAGAGGCTGTTTTGGTTTACTCTGCTGACAGCAGTCCCCAAATGTTTATATGGTTAAGGTTTATAATTGTTTTCTGCAAAACTAAACCTCCCGTTTAAATTTGAGATGTTTTCCAAATTATTTTAGGACCCGACCTTCACATCCTTGGGTGTGTAAGCCCTCCAAAGCAAATCCCTCCATCCGACTGGCTCAGCTCTGATGCGGCTGATGCGGTTCCCATCCTGCGCAAAGTCTGTCACGGCTGTCACTGTCAGCGCGGCTGCTGCACAGCTGCTTTCCGAGCAGGGCGCCCGCAGCAGATCCACCTGGCATGCTGAAAGGGCGATGTTTGGGGGCCCCAGTAATTGGCTATCTAAAATGAACACGAAGACCGAGTCTGACAAGAGTTATCCAAACAGTTGCCCATACCCTGTTTACCGTCCAGCACAAATGTTTCGCATTCCAGGACACACATGCCTTGAAACCAGATGGGTTTTGCATGAAAACAGCTGTGACTGACTCAAACTGGCATCCCTCTGCACATTTTACTGTGCTTTTTTTTTTTTCCCCTGCAGTAGGCAGTTTACTAAAACTCAGTGGTGCTTTTCTTTCCACAGGTGCTAACATTTCTGGAAAGACAGTCTTATCTTCATGGGTCCATGCCCAGAGAATGAAGACAAGTCGTTCTCATGACAAAGAAAGAGATGAGTCTGTGTTTCTGGAAAACATTTATCTTTCACTAGCTTTATTATAAGGAGGTATCTGCTGGGAGTTATTTAATTTAAAATAAACAGAATTTTTGATCTGGAAAGGGAGGATTCTCAAGTCAGTTTATAGTGAAATTTGGATCCACGACAGGAAGGCAAATGCAGCAGATTTGTATTTGTCTTTTTGGCTTAGCTAGGTTATGGTGCTTTACTTTCCAACCTGTAAAATGATGGTAGTTTTATTTCTATCTTTCACAGAGGCACTGTGAGGATAAATTCACTGAAAGAATGTGGAAAAGTAATAAGCTATGGCGGTACCGGCTGTGTAAGTATCTGTGGTGGGTAGGGAAGTGATGGGTGGTGATAAAATCAATATGGCAATGGCAACCCAAGTCAGTCATTCAGCTCTGCCTCTGCATATCGTATCTTTCCTAAAGGGACCTCTTCTAGGTGCAAGACTAGTAGTGTCCGCTTCTCTTGTTTGTGCTGAGTGTTTTGTTTTCTGTCCCAGACCAATAATTATCATCTGAAAAGAACAAAGTTCTAGAAATGGTGTCAATGGAATTAATCTAATATGAAAATATCAAAGTTTCATATCATTTTTCCCATTTGTAGAATTGCTTAATAATTTATACGAGATGGCATTCAAGTATTTTAAGATGGTATTTCTAACACGATCAAATAATCAATGTTTTATTCCTTATGGAAAAGACTCATAAAATATAATTTAAATTAACCCTGTAGAGTTCTATAGGAACTGAACTAAAAACCTACAAATATTAATAGCATATTATCTCTCATCCCAAATCCTTAAAGGCTGCCTCACATCTTATAGAAAAGTCCTGGCTCATTTTCCAGGTTCTTGATTCAATTAAATTGGAGGTTTCCATGAGGAATAGTTATTGCCATTACAGCCCCATGGGCTGTGCTCACAACCCAGAACAAAAGTTTAAAATCAAAGAAAATAATCTTGTCAAAATAGTGATGATAAACTTAACAGAAGCCGAACTCCAGTGGCTCTGCTGTGCCTTGGCATTCGTTATGATATTGTCTGAACTTAGAGAGATATTTCTGTGCTTGTAATTAGCTTTCTTATCACTTATTCCCTACATAATTAGGACAACAGTGTTGTTATATGGATTCAGTCAGACAAGGAGCTTGTCAGTGAATTTATTTCATAGAAACAAATCTCAGCTAAAGTTGTTTTTATTTTCAATTTATAGCACTGTGGCCAACATTACGTTTTTCAGGAACACACAGTATTCCTTCAGATGGACCCTACAGACAATAAAGGCACAAAACAGACATGCAGTCATGCAAACACACAGCAGCAGATAGTCAACCTTAAGTATATACAGATATCTCAATTGACCATAAAAGGCCCAAGTGTCATCAATAGCCTCAGGATGGAGCAATCAAGGGCTAGAGCTGGTTATTAGTTTAAGCTACAGAAATGAGCTGAATAAAAGTAATGGCAATTTTCCACTTCAGTGACAAGTTCTTTCAAAGATTAGTTAGTTGGTTGAGTTGTGCCTCCATCCTGGGACATCTTGGCACTAACACGTCAAGCCCTTTGACAGCTTGAAAATAAAGCTGTTTCTGCAAACCTTGCCTCCCCTCTTTCTTCCAGTCAAATGCACGTTGTGGGACTGGAGAAGACCCTGGCAAGGGGTCAGCCTCAGTATGATCTATCGAACTCAGCCTCCCCCACTTGAGAGCTCCTGGACCATGCATTCATTCTCGCTGAGATGTCGAAAGGCTTTATCAATACCTAAGAAAATGGGAGTTAAAAAAAATTACCTTGATAGCTTATGTGACTAATTCTCATTTGATCCTCATAAACGGTAGGTGTCTAGCTTGCTTGGAGGCTGTGGGGACGTCCCACCACACACCAGCCTGAGTTCTTAGCTACCTCAAGGTCTAAGAAAATCTGTTCCCATGAGCTCAGCGGACATTTGCCTGATGGACCGGCAGAGACTCTAAGCCAAGAGCAATATGTAGAACAGAGCAGCACTGAGCAATGGAGAAACACAAAGTACTACACATATGAGAGCCAACACAGCTGCTGGAACCATAAGGTGCCATTCAGTTTAAGATCATTGTGTTATGATACCATTTGAATTATTTTTTTCTTCTGTCTAAGCACTTGGCTGATGATGGGGAGAGAGGAGAGGAATTTAGAAAGGGGAAAATATCAGGAACTATCTGGGTTTTGCCAACATTTTTTTTGAGCTGGCTTTTTGTTGGTAGAGAAACTGTGGCTGTAATCCTATGTCTAAACATTTTTCTCACTGAGTCACCTATGGAAGAGAAATAAATGCCTTGTTAGAAAGAGGGTCGGGTGATTTATTTAGTGCAAATATAAAGTAAATATATATATGACCCCCCTTGGTTAGGTATGATATTCCACCAGATTAACCTGAGGAAAGCATTTACTGATTAAAAGGGCAAGAATTTTCTAAGTGACGTTGTCACTGTTTCCAAGTAAAAAAATACCTTTAGGAAGAGAATAATATATAAGCATAAGAATGATTTTTTTCTTCTATATTAAGTTAGACAAAAATTGTAAGCCAGCAAAAGAAAGAAAAAAGACTTCAGTACAGATTTACTGACTAATGAATCTGCAGGTGAGCTTCTTATTGACGATTAATGAAATTATTCTAGCTAAGACCATTGCTGCTTCAAAAACTTAAAATGGAATTTTATACTCCCGGAATTTAAAACAAGTTATTCTACTCATAGTTGTTTCATCCATAAATCTCAATGGACTACCATTCAGATCATTGTTAGTCAGATTTTTTTTTCCTCAAAAACCTGAGGGATATTATCATCTATTTCATTTTGCAGACAAATATGTGGCCTAGTTTGTTGATTTTATGGCTTCTGCCCTTTGTTGTTATTTAAGTCTTATAATTTCTATTGGAATTAATCATAACATAAATACAGGAAAAAGTAATCCCATTGGTTTCATGCCAATATGTAAAACTCTTACCCAAATCCTCAGTACTTAGCTGTAACGTAATTTTACAGGAATCATCATGCCCAGGACAGGCAATGGGTACAGTGCTCAGAACGGTCAAAACATGCTCTTTGCCATCCTCTGCAATTTGTAATGATTCTGGTAAAAACTGGAAATAAGAAAATAATTTTTAGATTATTTTGACAGATTAATTAGGCAATACTGATATTTATGAAATTTTGAGTGTTTTTAATCAATTATGAAAAGATATAATTGCTTGTAAAATAAAAACATTCTTTGTAATAATCCTCATAATAATAATAATAATCTTTGTAATAATCATCTTCAACTTTATAAGGTGAAATTATTGTTAAAATAGTTTAACACTTTTGGCAATTGAGAAAATGTTTGCAGTTGTCATATATAGTGTCTAATTGCTTCTCATCTCCTAATCGCAAAACAGGTTTTTATTAAGCCTGAAAATAGCGTGATACCATAGAATTTATTCATTTTTAATATTCCTGGTTAAAAGGAGCTCCTATTCCAATGCACTAGGAGAAATGCCAGCAATATTCACGGCCTAAAGTATGGCATTACCTTATCATCATGGACTCCATGTTTGTATTCTGCCCCAGGTGCAAAATGAGTGCAATTTTTGCCCGATTCCTCTTCCCTGCTGTGGCAGAAAGAAGGATTTCTCTGTACATAATATATTACAGCTTTGGTGGCTCATGCACCGGGGAGAGAGCTCGGGTTGTGCCATTTCTGTCTGTCTGTTCTGGGGCAAGAGCAGAAACAGCACTTGGGGCTAGTCAGAAATGGGAATTTTTCCATTCCCTGGAAAATTCTGACATTTCCAAAAAAAACGAAACTGTTCTTCAAATGTCACACAGAATGTCTTGCCAGATTTTTCAAACACCATTCATGGAGGCATGAAGCTTAGATACTCAGAAGATCTCAAATTCTCCTGGACTGCCAGACTGACAGTCTAATCCTTGAGTGGGATTAGAGCTGGTTTTTGCACTCAGTGGGAATTTACCTTCAGCAATTTGGTTTTTGTAGTCCCTGACCATAAGAAGATGATGGATAAAAATTAGTTTTTCTCTTCGCTTTATTCTGGTTTAGGTACAACAAAATTCTGCATCCTTGTAGGTGTGTTTTCTCGTTATACATAACCATCAGAGTACTTTGGGGTGTACTTACTAGAAGATGTAGTTTTGCACATTCTTTATGGTGCATTAGTGTCAACACTTGCACACGGTGCTGAAGGGTGGTTCAGGGCTTACAAACAGCCTGAAAGCCATATGTATTGGGTTTGCATGGCAAGGTTTTGGTAGCAGGGGGATACAGGGGGGGCTTCTGTGAGAAGCTGCTAGAAGCTTCCCCTGTGTCCAATAGAGCCAATGCCAGCCAGCTCCAAGACAGACCCGCCGCTGGCCAAGGCCAAGCCCAAGCCCATTAGGGACGGGTGT